AGGTCTAGAGTAAGGGTAGAAACACCAAATTTCCTATTACAGTGTCTTGTGTTGCAGCCCATGCCTCGTCACGTGATGAATCTAGATTTTTGTTTTCATTTTAGTTGCTATACTTCCTTTCATTTTAGTTGCAGAATTATCTGTTAATATTTAAACCTTATAATCATTGTTTACCTCAAATGAATCTTAGTATTTACTTAAAGGAATCTCAAAGACCATGGAGGTATAACCATAACACTCATGATATTGAATTTGTTAGAATTATATGTGTAATAGTTTTGTTTTATAAAAAAAATATAGTGCTTAAAATATAATGACTAGCATTGATATGATATAATATTTTAGGCAAAATGTATGGACTTTATATAAAATGAAAAATTACGAAAATTATTGACATGGAACATTAATATTAAAATTTAATTGTTAGTGCCATTGATACACGATTTGTCATGGGAATATTTCTTTCACGCTTAATAAACTGTTGAAATAAATATTTACCTTAATACATGTGTGTTAACTTGGTCTATAGGGTGATACATAGAATTATACCTACTTGTAATTTAAGAAATGTAGAATAGATGATGAAACTTTTAGCCTCAGGAGACATTATTGTTGCAAAGGCGCTAGTCTGACCGCGAAGTGGTGGTGCTCTATATAAGAGCAAGGCTAATAAGTCCCGTTCGTGTCTTATAATCCGTATTTTTTTCAGTGAACGAACAGTATTTTTCTCTCACAACAAATCAGTCAATAGTAGTCATGGCTCATTAGCCAAGCGAATAGGGCAATAATACAGAGCCTTCTCTCAGTCCACCCATGTAGTAGTTAGCTATTCACTATTAATCCATGGTCCACTTGTCTCTCCCACAAAGTTTCTCGGTTCTTGTGTTTAAACTGGCTGTAAGCTTACATGCCGCTTCTCTTCTCTCTCATCCACCTCAGCATTTAGCTGCCTTACAGCATGCTATTATACTTGCTCTTAAGTAGGGCTAGGCGCTATAATTATTACCTGTTGTTGCATTATGAAATCTTGCCGCTTTTGAGTTTGCTATTACGGAGTTTGTTCGCGTTTTCCCCTGCTGGTTTGCTTTTAACATTCGGCTAGAGTGACCATTCGCTCTAAAGTTGGTTCACGTCTCTTTTGGAGTTGTTTTCATTTTTTGTTTGTTTTATTGGTAATCCTCCTTACAGGCGGTCCGTCCGGACCCCGCCCTTGCACACGCCGCCCCACCCGCGTCACCCGCTAGCTCTGCGCATTGCGCGCCCCTGCTCATGGGACGGACCCTGCCCTTGTCTGCGTCGCGTGGCCTTGCTTGGACTCGCGCCTCCCATCGCGGCCGCGCTCCATCCACCCGCCGAGGTCCATGTTACCGACAAGCTCCACACCGACGACCTTTGCATCACTCCATGGCATCGAGCTCCACACCGGCGTCGAGCTTCGCTTCGACGAGCCTCCATTTTCGTCCAAGCAGCAAATAGATGTTGCGTTTAAAAGCGCATGTTGCAAACGTCTGTTTCAGATGTTTCAGAGGTTTGCAAGTATTTCATGTGGATATTGCACATGTTATAATGGTTGTACACGTACGTTGCAAGCTTTTGTTTCCAATATTTTATCTGTTTTTTAGACATATGTTTGCAAGTATGTTTATCTAGATATTACATATGTTTCATACATATGTTGCAAGTGTTTTATCTGAATGTTGCGTATGTTTGGCAATAGTTTCCAAGTGTTTTTCAGATGTTTTTGCAAATGTTTCAGATGCATATTTCAAGTGTCTCATCTGTCTTCAGACGTATGTTGCAAGTGTTGCATCTGGATGTTTCAAAAGAAGATCGGGGTGTTGCACATGTTGCAATGTGATCCACCTGCCGTGACCCCTGCTGCAGCTGCTGGGGCACCGCCGTGGGTATGCCTCCGCGGCACACATCCGCAGCTGGGGTGAGGCAGGCGCGGTGGGCGAACTCCTGTCTGTTGCGGCGCTATGGGGTTACAGGCACGCTCCTATCTATTGCGGCGTTGCGAGGTTACGAGGCACGCTTCTGTTACGGGGACGGGACAGGGTGCGCTTCTGTTACGTGGGATGGGACGGGACGGGGACACGATGGATGCACTCGAACAGGAGCAGCGTTTAGACGCCTCATGCGGCCGGACGTCTGGGCGCTAGCCCTTCCGTTGTTTTATTAATGATTTGTGCTTTGTGTATGTTTATTGTTTTTGCGAGATGTCAATGAAGATATTGCTACTCCTGGTTCTAATCCCACGGAAGAGGATCCGGATATGTTGAGGTTTGGGTGTCGCTCTTATTTCTGATTAGGTGACTTATGGCTGGCGTTGTTTAACCGGATTTAGTTTTTTTAGATAATGAAAAATTTCCGACTTCAGTCTTCTTATAAGAACAAGAAGCATCAGTCCAAACTTATTACAGTAGCACACCCATAATTAAAACAGGTTTAGAACTAAAGTTCAAAACGGTAAATAAAGGACAATCCATGCGATGTCCATGGCTCTTGACTCTAGTAGCTTGCAAGCGTCAAGAATCTATCCCCTACCGTCATCCGAGCGCTGCAATAGAGCTCAAAATCGTAACCAGAGTGTCCCCTGAAAAGAACCCGTAAAAAAGTTTTTGTGTGACCTTTAACAAAAACAACATCGTTCCTGTGATCCATATTGCCCAACAAAACACCACGATGATTATGTTTGGAACCTCCTAGTTTTAGTTAGGCAAATCACACCCTTATGTGGATTATTTAACGCTGATTTTACGACGCGCGACGGTTTTAGCCTACATGATGCCATGTTACATGGTGTCACGTTAACCGTGAGAGGTAAATTTGATTATGTTAATAGTTAAAGGGGCAAATAGACTTTCAAGGATAAGTTGTACAAATATTTTTTAAACAATATTTTTCCAGAAAAAATATGAATTAAAATTCTAAAATCTTGTTTAATCACACAAAAATTATTTTAGCTCAGAGAAATATTAAACCAATTTCATATTCTTTGTAAAATCATAATCTACCTTATGGTGCCTAGCCCAAAAAATATATACATATGCGTTTTTCAAATCTCCATTATTATATTATGGTGCTTCTAATAGTACAAATTCTTGAAATTGATAAAAATATCTAAAACCTAGGTGCTAACAATATTGTTCGCAATTGAACACATGATACTTGGTTACATAGGATTACCTAGGCACCTGCTGGTGCGATTTGGCACCCACACCTAAGGATGAAAACGGAACGGAAATATTTCGAACCGAACCGCATCGTTTTCTATATTTAATCCGATCGAATCCGCATTTTCTTGTCCGACTTTACCGTTTTTGTTTTCGCATTTCAGATGTTTCGTATTTCAAATGTAAAAGTAGAAAACGGTTTAGACATTTTTCGACCGTTTTCTACTTTTCTACTTTTAATTTGAAATATTCCGAATTGAAAATTCGGTTTAAACCGAATTTGGCCAACTGCACAGGTCATACAGCCCAATTATAAGTTGTTCACCACGCAGCTGCGTTCTTTCTACTGGTGGCCAGCTGCCCTCTCTTATAGACGGCGTCCAACCTCATCTCTCTTCACCTCACGATATGGTGCTAAATGTCAGGAAACCAGCAGCATCTACACGAGAGCCCACCTGGGCCATAGCCCATCAAGCTCATCGGTTTAACCCCCACCTGCAAAGTCAATCATTTGATAGTTTTTGCATCAGCCGAATAAATCTTTGTTACTCAAAAGAAAAATCTGAATAAATCTTTAAAATAAAATACTACATCTATTCTAAAAAGATTAATAAAATTATTCTGACTCAGTTCGAGTTCATGTTTCTATAATATGCACTTGTTAATTATTATATGTACTTGAACTTGATCATGTATGCACTTAGTCATGCACTTGGTCTACGGGTCGGTATTCCGTATTGAGTTTTCGTATATCGACCGTGTTCGACATAAATCTGCTCGAATTGGTTCGTTTTCGAAATTCTCAATAATTCGTAAGTTCATGTTCGTTTTCGTGTCCGGTTTTACCGTTTTCGCTTTCGTTTTCGTATTTCAAATGTAAAAGTAGAAAACAATTTATGAGTTTTTCGACCGTTTCCAACCGTTTTCATCCTTACCCACACCCAACCCTCGTTCATCTCGGGCTCCGACTCAAGAGCCAAGGGTGCAACTTGACACCCCCACACCAGTACACCACGGAGGCGGTAGCAAAAAAAACAAAGAAAATGTGCATAGAAGATTCAAGTAAATCTCTAATGTTCAAGGTAAAACGGTGTTTCTAAGATTAAACCAGAATTAGGATAATTGTATATTTTTTCTAAAAACCATTTAATAATCTTTTAAAAACGTATTTTTTATATAATTCTTATGGTAAAGTCTATTTGGCCCATAAAGATGTAGTCCAAATTATCCTCCTCACGACTGGTGTGGTGCCACATAGACTAAAATCGTTGTGAACCCACAGTTAAAACTAATTTGTCCATAGGGTGTATAGAATAATATGATTTTATACTTCGAGGGGGGAAATTGGACGGTGTGGGTAGCTGAGAGAGGTAAAATAGATTTTTTCCCCGCCATTTTATATACACAATAAATTGGGCATCAATCAGTTTGAGGCCCAATATGGCAATATGAAGTCTAATTTGAGTCCAAACTGAATCCAATTTATTGGCACTCAGGCATATTTCCAACAATCTCCATTTCTCCCAGTTTTGATTTGAACATATCAAGACATATTTCCGTGTCAACTACTTGACTGTTCGGAAAAGAGCAGCTATTCTAGTCTAGTAAATAAAAAGCGATCTTTAATTTACATGGGAATGGAGAAGCAATGAAGTGCAGAATTACAAGGTGGCAGCTTTCTGGGGATCAGGAGCAGCCATGAGCAAGTATATACATTGCAGAAAGGACGAGGAGCAAGATGATACTTCCTCCGACAGGAAGCATGCATTACAGTTTCTTGAGGCTGTTTTGCACACTGCGATCGTGCATGGTTTTACGACGAGATTACGCAGTTGCAGCTGCGGCTTCCTCGGCCACCTGGGACGCCTGCTGCAGCGTGCAGATGAGGTTGCGGTCCCCGTAGACGTTGTCCACACGACCTGGCAAGAGCGCAACAGGGGAAGCAGAGATTAGATTAGCCTCGCTCGAAGTGTTTAAGAGACGAGAAGGCTCGCCCTGGAGACGACGGTTGAGCTATTCGTACCTGTTGTTGGCCAGAACTTGGCGCCCCGGAGCCATGCCGCGGGGAACGCAGCGTACTCCCTGGAATACGGCTTGCTCCATGTGTCACCCATCAAGAGTTGCGGTGGGTGAGGAGCGCCCTGGACAAACAAAGCAAAAACACCTGTGAACCTCTCTCTGTAAACATGCAATGCAAGAGGTGTCCTGGCTGTGTGCAAAACCATCTCCTGTGTGGAAGACTTAGCATGACACATACTCTTTACAGTCAGTGATGACTTCTTTCTTTAAAGTTATTCAGACCCAGTAGGCAAGGAATATGATTCAGAAGGACCTAGAAACCACTAACTACGTGGAGAGAGATACGGCTTCGGCTTGATATGGAACAATTGCTACCTAACTGATAACACCATTTGGCACTAATGGATATTACCTTCAGGACATTGTTGAGCACATCTGCTTTGCCATTTTCTATCTCTGCAATCTCTTCCCTGATGGAGATAAGAGCATCACAGAACCTGTCCAGCTCGGCCTGCCAAGACAAAATGTTATGATATCATAAGCTAATGTGAAATCAACTAACTGATATAATGGGAAGCAAAAGATTGCCAAAAGCTACATATGCTTACCTTGCTCTCACTTTCAGTTGGTTCAATCATAAGTGTGCCAGGAACAGGCCATGACATAGTTGGTGAGTGAAATCCGTAGTCCATCAGGCGCTTTGCCACGTCCTCTGGCTCTATACCAGCAGTCGTCTGACAAAGTTCCAGGAGCCAGTTAGAGACTGCAATGCATCGATGCATGGTTCAATTGCTAATATGATTCATATATAAGTACCTTAAATCCTCTTAAATCAATGATGAATTCATGGGCAACAGTTCCGTTGACTCCACGGAACAGAACTGGGTAGTGTTTCTGCAAAAAGATCATTACCAAGTAAATTTTAGAAACTAATTTGATGAATATAACAAATGTCACTAAGGTATGCTATCATGAATGAAAAAGTACCTCCAGACGTTTTGCCATGTAGTTTGCATTCAAGATCGCGATCTTTGAAGCATCAGTGAGTCCCTGTGAACCCATCATGGCTATATATGCATAGGAAATTGGCAGAATCAAGGCAGATCCCCATGGAGCACCAGAAATGGTACCGAGAGGGTCGGTTTTCTCAGGGAGAGGAAAGCCACCAGTGGGAATCTGATAATAACTGGATTAATCAGATGATGTGGTTGTATTTTCTTTTGGATGAAATAATGGAAGCATGCAGAAATTATGAACAAATTTTCTGGTTTAGTGCTCTGCATTTATAGAACGGGTTGATTTGTTAACACATCACCACTAAATAGTGCAGTAGTATCACCTGCAATGCTTTCAACATGAAAGAAAATGATGCAGACACTTTCTTGCTTCACTAGTTTAGGACAGGACATGAAAATAAGTCCTTAGGTTGCAGAATACGATAGGACAACAAGGGTTCTAGTCTTGAAAGAATAGTGTAAGATTTGTCATAGCATAGAGAAACACATGCAGAATCTATCTTAATCTTCAATCTGAACATCTTAGGAAACTGTTCTTGGAAACATGGTTATAATAATCTGTTTTGTGTTGTATGAACATGGAACTTTACAAGCTCGTAAAATTAGAGTGCAAGGTCGTGACACTTTCTATAATACTAAACTTGTGTCACAAATCAAGTTAACCGTTGAATAATGGGCAGTACTAATATGCCTCAAATCTGAATATACGCCTCAGGTCGGAAAATGAACTTTTACAGATTGACAAAGAGAAGATAAAGAATTAAGGGAACTTACAACTGGGTGAGATGGTAAAAACGGTGCCAAATGCTTCTTAACCCCAATAGGACCCATGCCGGGACCACCTCCACCATGTGGAATGCAAAATGTCTTGTGAAGGTTAAGGTGACAAACATCAGCTCCAATAAAACCAGGGCTTGTTAACCCAACCTGTAAAAAGAAAACTTTTGTAAGCTCAAGGAAATTTCTAGTGATCCTATTATTTTGGCAATAGCTATCCAATAAGGGGCATTTAAGTCCTGTACTAGGTTCAGGTGAACTAGGACGGAGAAAATACGTTTCTTATAGAACAAAAAGTAGTTAGGAACATACAGTTTGATAGATTATACACGAAATTTAATATTTTCAAGAGAACCACAGAATTACTTATCTTGCTAATGCTAAGTACTGAACTCTAATAGATTTGTCTCGTAAGTTCACTACACAAGTATTTTCTTTTCAAAAATAAGAAGAATCAACTTCATCGCATGTTGGAATGCCATCTACACATAGCAATATAAATGTGTCCCATAATTTTTAGAATAATAATTTCTTGAAGAGAGTGCTTGCATAATGAACAAAGTACAGAAGATGGAATAGCAAACTGTGAAAAAATAACCTGAGCATTCATGTTAGCCCCGTCCATGTAGACCTGTCCGCCATTTTCATGAATGATCCTGCAGATCTCATCAACGCCTTCTTCATAGACACCGTGGGTTGAAGGGTAGGTTACCTGAAAATAAGTTAATATTGTAACACACTGTTATTCTTGACACATAGTGATAATCTTTCAGTATATTAATAGAGATGAAAGAGTAAATGTCCAATGTAAATCCTCCTATTTTTTGAACGTGGTGGCAGGAGCTCTGCCTTTCAATTAAGTAAGGGGGAAGTAAATCCTCATATTAAAAGGGCATAACAAGAGCAAGAGTACCATCAGCGCAGCCAAGTTGTCCTTGTTTGCTTCTGCAGCTTTCCTCAATTCCTCGATGTTTATGTTACCCTTGGAATCAGTTCCAACAGCAACAATCTTCATTCCAACCATAGCAGCACTTGCAGGATTTGTGCCGTGTGCTGATACAGGAATGATGCAGACATCGCGGTGGTGGTCTCCTCTTGACTGCATTTTATCAGCATAATTCTGTAACAAAGATTACCAGAAAAGCAAGAGAGGAAAAGGCTAGGCCACATAGATCATGACATACGTTGTGGTATGCACGGATAACCATCAATCCAGCATACTCTCCTGCAGCACCAGCATTTGGTTGCAAAGAGAAAGAATCAAAACCTGTGATCGTGCATAACAGGTTGCCCAAGTCATCAAACATTTCCTATGACAGAAAACAAGTTATTTCAGATGTTTGGAAATTCATGCTGCGAATACTTTGCCATCAGGATAGAAACTGAATCATGGTCCTTACATGGTACCCTGCAGCCTGATCAGTGGGGGCAAACGGGTGCAGGTTCGCGAAGTTGGGATATGTAACAGGCATCATCTCAACAGTAGCGTTTAGCTTCATTGTGCAAGAACCAAGAGGGATCATACTGTGGCACAGTGAGAGATCCTTGGACTGCAACTTATGCAGGTAACGAAGAAGCTCATGCTCTGTGTGGTACCTGCAAGTCCACAGCAGCATGGCAAATCAGAAACATTCCGACAAATTAGTGGACCAGACTGGGCTTCAGATTTCAGAGGCACGTACATGTTGAAGATTGGATGCGTTAGGTAGGGGCTCTCGCGAGCAAGGCTGCTAGGAATTGAGCTTGAGACCTCTGGTGCGAGGGATTCAGCTGTGAAGCTGGCCTGAAAGTGTTTGCAATGGCACACCATTTAATTTAATATTTGGGTCTAATTTCACATCGTCATTTAATAACACACGCACATTATACTTTGCAATGATTGAATGAGTACTTACTGATTTTCCATTGTTGAACACCTTGAACAGCTTGTCAACATCCTCCAGGGTGGAGGTCTCATCAAATGCTACGGTTATCTATAGGAATGCATCACAATTAGGAGTTAATAAATGCTCAGCTCTGAAAATCATCGCGACGAGCTGGAATGAAATAGTGACATATATAGTGATCAATCAAATAAAATCGCACCGTGTTGGCGTCGACAACCCGGAGGTTCATCTCGTTTTTGACAGCTTCCTTGGCAATTGCACGTGCATCAGAGCACGTGACCTTGACCGTGTCGAAGAAGGGCAGGTCCTGCACGGTCACTGTCCCGAGCTTCTTGAGGCCGTGGGCGAAGGTGCCAGCCAGGCCATGAACCCGGTCAGCGATCGCCTTCAGCCCCGCTGGACCATGGTAGACAGCGTACATGGCAGCCATGTTGGCGAGCAAGGCCTGCCAACCACAAGCGTCCTTGTCACTAACTACTACTCTATCACTAACACACTAGTGTACGATCGATCGGGTCACTGTCAGGCAATTTGGTGAGCGGGGTGGGTGGAGTGCGCTGCGCCGAGAGGTACCTGTGCAGTGCAGATGTTGCTGGTGGCCTTGTCCCGGCGGATGTGCTGCTCCCGGGTCTGCATCGCCATGCGGAGCGCGGGCTTGCCGGTGGAATCGACGCTCACTCGATGATACGGCCGGGCATGAGTCGCTTGTACTCCTGCGACGTGGCGAGGAACGCGGCGTGCGGGCCGCCGTAGCCCATGGGCACGCCGAAGCGCTGCGTGGAGCCGACGGCGATGTCTGCGCCGATCTCGCCTGGCGGGCGCAGCGTGGTGAGCGCGAGCAGGTCGGTGGCCATGACGACCTTGACGCCGTGGGCGTGCGCGTCCTTGACGAACTGGGCGTAGTCGAGCACCTCGCCCTCGGTGCCCGGGTACTGCACGAGCACGCCGCAGACGTCGCCGCCGCCGTAGTCGAAGTCCTTGGCGTCGGCGACGACGACGCGGATGTCGAAGCCGTCGGCGCGCGTCCGGCACACGTCGATGGTCTGCGGGTGGCAGTTGGAGGCGATGAGGAAAGTCTTCTTCTTTCCCTAAGGATGCCGTTGCACATGGCCATGGCCTCGGCGGCGGCGGTGGCCTCGTCGAGGAGGGAGGCGTTGGACATGGGCAGGCCGGTCAGGTCGGCGACCATGGTCTGGTAGTTGAGCAGCGACTCGAGGCGGCCCTGCGCGATCTCCGCCTGGTACGGGGTGTACTGGGTGTACCAGGCCGGGTTCTCCATGAGGTTGCGCAGCACCACACCGGGGACGTGCGTGCCGTAGTACCCCATCCCGATGAAGGACTTGAACGCCTTGTTCATGGACGCCAGCCGCTGCATGTGGTCCAGCATCTGCGACTCGGTGAACCCGGCGTCGAACCTCCCGGAGAACCGCATCGGCGGGGCGCGGATGGCGGCCGGCACCGTGGCGTCAATCAGCGCGTCGACGCCGCCGGGGAACCCGCAGACGGAAGCCATGGCCGCCTGCTCGGCGGGTGTGGCCGAGTTGTGCCGCCGCGGGAACGTGTCGCTCGGCTGCAGCGCCGACACCGACACCGGCCGCCCCTGCGCGTGCTGGTGGGGAGGAGGCCGGGGAGCGCGGCGCTGCTGGTTCTGCTGCTGCTGCCTCCCCGCGGGCGCCGCCGGCGACAGGGTGGAGATGCCGCGGGACGACGACGTGGTGGGCGAGGCCGCGGCCGCCGCGAGCAGGCGCCGCAGCAGCGCGCGGCTGGCGTGCCGGCGTGCGCGCTCCATCTGGTTGGGTGGGGTGGGGAGGCGAGGGAGGAGGGGGCGCGACGCGAGGCGAGGCAGGCGCAGGAATGGGAAGTGGCCCGCCCCGCGGTGGGAGAGGACTCGGCTTCCGCTCCTGCCGAGAAGAGCGGGCGGCGGCTGGGGTGCTGCCTGCCCTGGCTTGGCTAGTAATGCATGCAGGAGAGAGCAGCTGTCAGCCTGCCTGACTGCGCCAAGCTGCTAGTGCTAGTATAGTGGAGGTGGAGTCAGCACGGACGCACGCGTGACGCTGACGCAACTGATCGGCAACGGGAGGCGGAGCGCGCGGATGGCGTTTGGATGGACGTGGAGCGTGGCAGGTAGCGGAGCCCCAGCCACAGAAATCGGCAATCGGGGGTTGGCACGACGCTCCTCCGCTCCGGCGGCTGCAGAAGATTTTCACCGAGCGCCTCGGCGGTATCCGAGGTGGTGTTTAGCGGGTGTTTAGTTGAAGTCCAAAATCTAAAAAAGTGCTACGGTATCTGTCACATCGAATGTTTACGGTCTATGTATGAAGTATTAAATGTAGACGAAAAAAAACTAATTGCACAGTTTGGTGGGAAATTACGAGACGAACGTTTTGAGCCTAATTAGTCCATATTTGGACACTAATTGCAAAATAAAAACAAAGGTGCTACAGTAGCCCCAAATTCCAAATTTCTGGAACTAAACAAGGGCTTAGATAAGTTAGGGGGGGGCCGTCACATCGGATATTACGTGTTTGGAAACTAAATAAAAAATAAATTACAGAATTTATTATTAAACTATGAGACGAATTTATTAAGCCTAAGTAATCCATCGTTAGCACATATGCTACTGTAGCACTGTAGCACTTTTTTGTTGTCAAATCATAGACTAATTAGACTTAAAAAATTCGTTTCGCAAAGTAGTTCCAATCTGTGTAATTAATTATTTTTAAGTCTATATTTAATACTCTATACATGTGTCTAAACATTTGATGCGATAGAATGTAAAGTTTTGAACGGACAAACTAACCGCCTGATCGTTGGGCTGGCTGGGGCTGGCTGGGCTGGCCAGCCAACCCCCTCATATGAGTACTGTTCATCTAAACCAGTCAACAATATTTCTCTCTCATATAAACAAACCAGCAGCGATACGAACCAGCCTACTGAACTGGCCGTAAACCCGGACTAATTTTTGCGGCGCCCGCTGCCTCGTCGCTGATGGCCGGGCACGGTGCCTGTCGAAGTCGGCAAACCAGTGCTGGCGACCGCGACGGGACGGGGATCTGGGGGCCGGATTCTAGCCCCCGGCGAAGCACGTTGGGTGGCGGCAGGTGGACGGATGCGGTGATGGGCGCGCGGATTGGGTATGCTGCGTCAGTCGGTCAGTGGTTCCGGTGGGGACAGGATTTTTGTTGGGATCCATCACCTACCGCCAAAGAATCTCTGGGAACCCGTGGGGGTCGTTGGAGGAGCGGACCAGTGTCCTTGTTCCACCAACCGCGTAGAGCAATCTCCTATGTTCACCTCGTTCCACCAATTTCAGCTCAACACAAAAAAGATAGGTTCACAAGAACAAAAATCAAATCTGGGTCTACCTCCGTCTTTGCCATTGCAGGACGCTCCCAATGCAGACTCTACAATGATTTCTATGACTATTTATTACCCTTCTATTTATTGATTTTTGCTGATGTGGCAATATATTTATTGAAGAAAGAAAGAGAGAGGAGAAACAATAAACGACGTCTAACATAGACGCTGAGTCTACGCTTCGACCGATGCCAAAGAAACCAGCCCCCGTGCGCATTGTGGAGTTGTCCATCGTTTCCATGGATCCGGTGCGCCTTCCCCTTCCCTCCCATCGTCGCCACCCTCGCTCCCTGCAAGCCCGACCCCGCCTCCCACGCCAGCAGCCGCTCTTCCCTTTCCCCGAAGGCCAGCCCTTCTCTCCCCCATGGCTTTCTACGCTCTCTCTCCAAGCCGGTCAGCAGATCGAGGTCCCCAGGCCCAAATCGAGGTACGCCCCCAAGCTCCATGACCATCCCCAACTGATCTCCTCCCAACAACAATCTTTAACCCAAATCCATACCCAAATCTCTGCATAGCTCCCTTCGATTCATATCGAGGTCCATCCATAGCTCACTTCGATTCCATCTCCCCATCCACTGTGACCCAAAAATATCCCCAAATCTCACAGATGAATCGATTAACAAAGACTGATTCTCGGCAAAGGCGATGTGTCCAGTAGAACCCATTCTCCATCCGTCTGTCTTTGTTGGGACTGTGGCTCCGGTCCGCCGAGCTGCTGCAACCCGTGCTCAAGCCGGAGCCACCGGTGTTCCTCAAGATGCCGGTGTTCCTAGAGGAGCTGCTTTGCAACCCATGCTCAAGCTGGAGCCACCGGTGTTCCTCAAGATGTTGGTGTTCCTAAAACTTGTGCTCCTCAAATTGGTGCTTTTCCCGTTGGTGCATGGTGGTCAACGTCATCTACTAGTGAAGAGTAAGTCATCAGAGAAGTGTTATGTGGATATAGATTGTTTACCTGCATATGCAGTGCAAAGTGTTTCATTTTCAGTCACTAGTGATATATGGCATATTGTGCTATTTTGGTGAAGATGTGATTAATTAGAGCATGGAAATTCATATGTTTGTAGGTTATACCCACCAGGAGGGTTCACAAATTATCTGCAGTCAAACCCATTTGCTAACCATCCTAGTGGAAATAATATTCCAGAAAATTTTCACTTTGTTGGTGCTGCAATGGGTCAGTCTTCAATGTCTCCAATTGATTTGGGTGCTAGAAGAACTCCTTCTCCAGCACAAGAAACTGATGATCTAGTGGATGATGTAGATGTAGAAGAAACTGAAACAATTAACGTCGATGAGGATTTTAGAACCGACAGGCGTTTGAACTGGTCGGTTGATGAAGATAAACGATTGGTACGTTCCCTTTCTCACTTTTCAACTTGAGAGCTATGTCCATGTATGCCCATTGAGATTATTCTGTAATTGTAGGCCAGTGCTTGGTTGCGTAATTCAAAGGATCCAGTCGACGGAAATAGCAAAAAGGCAGAGCGGTATTGGGCAGATGTTACTAAAGAATACAACAAGAACACATAAAGTAGCCGTAAGAGGAACCGGAACCAACTGAAAATACGTTGGGATCGTGTTAAGAAACCATTAACTGAGTTCCATGGCTGTTGGGTAAATGCTGATAGAGTGTGGCAAAGTGGGATGAGCGATGACCAGTTGATTGACAAAGCATGCGAGTATTATGCCAGTTCACATGATGGTAAGGCCTTCACTCTAGTGCATATGTGGAAGGTAGTGCGTGGTGAACAGAAGTGGTCAGCATATCTGAATAGGTTGAAGAAGGAAAAGAAAAAGAGTGCAAAGGCTAACGCTAACCCATCTCTAGTGGTGAATTTGGAATTAGATGGAGAAAAGCGACCTATGGGACATAAGAAAGCAAAAAAGGAACGCAATGGCAAAAAGAAGGCACTGATGCTTTGTCTGATTTCAGTGGAAAACTTGAGAAGTTCATTGAAGCAAGCACGAGGAATAGGGAAGAGAGAGAGAAGATGACTGAAATTCAGCAAAGTTTGGCTGATAAGAAGATTGAAGCAGCTAAGCTTAGTCATGAAGCAACCCATGAACAAACTAAGTGTAAAATGCTAGAAACTTACACACAGCTGATGCTTGCGCCTACTGATCAGCTTAGTGCAGATGCTTTGGCTGAGAGAAAGTTGGCACTAGAGAGCCTGAGACTTGCTTTATTTCCTAAGGTATGATATTGTCGACCCTTCTTCAATTGGTTATTTAATTGCTGGGAAGTGTTAACTGATAAACTTGTAATTTTCTGAAATTGATTCTGCAGTAGGAAGTGTGTGCATACAAATGTGACCATCCAAGTAATTTATATAAGGTAACCGAAATCCTTCCACTATTTTAATTCCTATGATCAGTGCTATTTTAATTCCTGTGATCAGTGCTTTTTGCATGCAAGTGTGAAACTCCTTTCACTATTATTTTCATGCAAGTGCGCACTGTTTCCACTAGTTTTTGCGCATGCAAGTGTGGACTGTTTCCACTATCTTTGTGAATATATACAGCACACCCACGGCACTTTCAGTCACTGCTTCTATTTCTTCTCGTTCCCCTTTCCTGTACTGCTGCTCTTTCTTTTCTGTTACTCTCTTTTTGCCACTGCTACCCACTGATCTGTAATCCATGGATGGAGATGGCAGCATCGACCCTAGTGATCTGTACTCCATGGATGATTATCTTCAAGAGCAAGAAATTATAGATGATTTAGACGATCATCTAGTATCTTAATTGCAGTCCGTTGCTGATGTTTTACAAGGTGGAAGAACTCAGCGTGGTCCTAGGCGATATGTGGACAGACCTCGTGAACAAGCCAGCCAACAACTAATGGATGACTACTTCTCGCCTAATCCAGTCTACAATGAGACACATTTTCGTAGAAGATTTAGGATGAGGAGACCCCTCTTTCTGAAGATTGTTGAGGCCTTAAGTGGGTGGTCTGAGTATTTCACCTTACGACCGGATGCTCTGAATCGCCCTGGATTCTCACTAATTCATAAGTGTACAGTAGCGATTCGTCAACTGGCATATGGCGGTTCTGCAGACCAGCATGATGAGTATCTAAAGATGGGAGAAAGTATTGGTGTGGAGTGCTTGAAAATGTTTGTTAAGGGTGTCATTGAAGTATACGGTGAAGTATACTTGAGACGACCCACAATACAAGATGTAGAACAATTGTTGGAGATCGGTGAGCGTCGTGGTTTTCCTGGCATGATAGGGAGCATTGACTGTATGCATTGGCATTGGGGAAAATGTCCCTACACATGGAAGGGACAATATACTCGTGGTGATCATGGTGTACCAACAATCATTCTAGAGGCCGTTGCTTCACATGACCGATGGATATGGCATGCTTTCTTTGGAGTGGCAGGATCCAACAATGACATCAATGTGCTGAATCAATCTATTTTGTTCGTC